CATATTTATTACATGTGCCTTAACATGCTTAAACATAATCGAGAAGAATATTAGGTAAAATCTATTTAATTAATTTAATTTGAATCATTTTGTAAATTATTTTTTAATCAAAACTTAATAATTGCGCTCAAATAATAAGGTAATGCTATGTGAGTGACAAGCAATTCTTTGTTATTCACCAAATACATTATAAAAGTAATTGAGTACTGTTTTAAATAAAATTATTTTTAGAAATTTTTATACTTTTCAAACAATTTATCCATAATAATGCTTAAAATAATCAAAATTATTTAAAATATTTTCCCCTTGTTAATCATTTCCCTGATGCATTTTTTATTTTCCGGAGTTTCCCTATAAATTCCGTCCTGGCAACATGGGAATTTTAGGAGTTTTCAAATAATGATGAACATTACATATAAATACATACATGTATGTACTCACAGAACGCTATTCACGCGAATGCCTTTGGGTGCCAACTGTAGTGACAAGCATTTGGTGAACATATCCAGGGCACTTTTTGCCATACAATAGCTCATAGCTCTCCATTGCTAGTGATAATAATATTAATATTTAATAATATTATCAATGAATTTATAAATAAGAAGTACATACGGGTATGAGTGTACCAATACTTGAGATATTAACAATATTTCCTTTTGTAATCTCCAGATACGGGACAACCAATTGTGTCAACACTTGAACACTTCGCAAGTTTGCGTTCATAATCACATCGTATGCCTCCAAATACTTGGGCCCTCCAAACTGGCCATTTGTGAGGACACCGGCGTTATTGACCAATATATCAATTTTGCCCAACTCTGCGATAGTCTTCGCCACCAATTCCTCGATGTCTTTGTCCACCAATAAGTCAGCCCTCACTCCGAGTGCTCTCTGATTGTCTCGTTTATGGCATTTGTTGACCACTTGTTGGATGCGTTTCTCATTCCTTCCAGTGATGACAACATTTGCGCCCAAAGACCACAACTTTATGGCAATCCCTTCGCCGATACCCGAAGACGAGCCTTCAATATATGGTTACAAATATTACTACAAATATTTAAAACTTACAAAATTTAATAATACCTGTAATTAATGCAACCTTTCCTTTGAAAACCATTTCACTAATCTTGTTGAATGTTTTTATGTAAAAATTATTTAATAATACAACTAAATATTTGTTATACTGTAGTGTTTGTAAAATTTTAATTGCCAACAACATGACAACTATTATACTATTATAAATTCTTCTATCTGTATTATTCTTAATGATTATGCTAAATTTTGACTTATCCATAGTCATAACAATTTAAATTTTATATAATACTTATGAGGCTACTTTGTAAAAACAGCATTTTAATATTTAATCATGATCATTCTTGATTTTAAACAGTCGTCAAATAACTGGTCGTCTTATGTGATTAAATGCTTATTAATATTTTTTATTTATAATTTTAACACAATAGTTAACAAAATAGTTTTGTATGTATTATAATATTTATATCAATAATAAATTTATATAAAGTTATAAAAACAAATATGATTTGAATTAAAATTGAGTAAATAATAATATATTTATTAATCAAACATGTTGATTATTGCCGTAGAATTACTTAAAAATTATTTTACATCAAATTTAATTAAAAACTAATTATTAACTGCATTTAAATATTTATATTCATTTCGTATACATTGATGTAAATCATTAAACAGTTGAACAGAGAAATCAAGTAATTGTTTATCTGATTTACAGATACTATTCATTGGTTTTATGCAATATATCGCACATCTTATTGTTTTGTAAAACTCAACACAATTTAACCATTAAATTGGTATTTCTAAAAACATGTCCTTAATTTTGAAAAATTGTTTTACAATTTAAACATTTAGTCTATTTTTAAGCAAATCAATGCCTAATAATTCTAATCTGTTTGTATAATTTGAATTAAATTTTTTCATTTTTAAAACATACATGTATGTATTTTGTTATTTTTTAAAATGTTATTTATAATAGTAATCTACTAGTAATTTAAATCAATAAACTAATCCATTTTGTTTAATTATAAATTGAATTTAATGAAACACTGGATTTATGTTCATGTTAAGTGATTTAAATGTTGGTATTTATTGTTTTAGTAAATATTTTATATATTGTATTATATTTAGACTTAAACAAGTTACAATAACTGTAAAATGATAAAAGGACTTTTTGGGCTATCATACACTTGATCATGATCACCTTTTACAGCGCTGTTTGTTGTACCATGGTATATTATGTTTATAGTCCTTTTATACACACTCTTTGAGCTCATATTTGATACACACTCTCATTGATAGCCCTTTTGTATTG